GATCATGTTTAATAGCTGGGTGGCGCCGCCTGTTGGTGAAATCATGTAGTGCTGCCAACCACTGTCAGGACAATGAGGCATCAGACGGAGAGTAGCTGACTGTAGTCTCCACCACAACTAGTGCTAACCCTCCTCTCTCTCTCTGTGTGCGTGTGTGTGTGTGTGTGTGTGTGTGTGTGTGTGTGTGTGTGTGTGCGTGCGTGTGTGTGTGTGTGTGTGTGTGTGTGTGTGTGTGTGTGTGCAGGAATATAGCTCCACACGCGCCGCTGGAGTTCCGGGTCTGGAGTCATCACGCTCTGAAGGCGGATGCGCTGCTGGGTCGAGCCGCACTGGACCTGATTGGGACCCTCCGCAAACATGATGGCAAATGTACGCATGTTCACACACACTGTCAGGACACGGGTTAGACCAAATTTAACAGCCAGGGGGGATAATACAGCTCCATACACACAAGCACACACTCTTCATCAGCAATGCTGTGCGCCTCCTCATCCATCATGTAGGGAAGTGAGGCAGAATATAATCTCCGGGGGTGGGGGGTGGGGGTGGGGGGTGTAGCGCTCCCCTGCACTAGAATGGCGGCTGTATTGACGCATTCCTTCCAATGGACAACAGCAGCATAGGGGACATCTAGTGTAGATAACACTGGAGAGTGTGCTTCAGGCTGTGTTGCTGTGGTTATGATGGTCTGTGCTGTGAGCGGGTGTCGTCATGACGACGCTGTGCTGTTGTTTCAGTGGAGAACGTGCGGGAGGTGCTGCCTCTGACTGCGGAGGGGAAACACGGCGTCGTGTCCACCGGAGAACTCACAGTGTTCCTGGACGGGCTCTCACTGGACCCGCAGCTCCTGCACAGCTCTAACACACCCACCGCCAGCAGTAAGAACACACACCTGAGCTCACCCTGACACACACCTGCAGAGCTCCTCACCTGTGTGTGTGTGTGTGTGTGTGTGTGTCTGTGTGTGTGTGTGTGTGTGTGTCTGTGTGTGTCTGTCTGCAGAAGTCCACCAGAATGGAGACGCTCTTCACGAGGACGCAGACGACAGCTCTGCACGGCCTCAGCACAGGTGAGACTCTCAGGTGTTTGCTCTGCGCTGCTCCTCCTGATCTGCATAATGGGTGAAGCTGATTGGCTGATCCGCTGCGGTGTGCAGGTCTGTGAATGGCTCAGACGGGGCAGAGAATGAAGCTCCACCCACCTCCTCTGCCAGCAGTGAGTGTAGACCCTCCCCCCTCCTCAATGGAGACAGAGACTCCTCCCCTTCACACCAGAGCCCCAGTCCTAAGGCCACACCCTCAGCACAGGCCACGCCCTCAACACAGGCCACACCCCCAGAACAGGCCTCCAGCAGTGCAGCTGGTGAGTCTCAAGTGTTCACTACAGAGAGTGCACTGACCATCACAGAGCTGCTGGAGAATCAGTGTGTGTGTGTGTGTGTGTGTGTGTGTGTGTGTGTGTGTGTGCGTGTGTGTGCGTGTGTGTGCGTATGTGTGTGTATGTGTGTGTTTGTGTGCGTGTGTGCGTGTGCGCGTGTGTGCGTGTGCGTGTGCGTGTGTGTGTGTGTGTGTGTTTGTGTGTGTGTGCGCAGTGAACGGCGAGGCCAGTGAGTCGGCGTGTGTGGGTGAGAGCGCTGCGGCTGATGCTCCCTGCAGCTCCTCTTCCTCTCCTGCAGGTGGAGCCGCGGCCGCACACACACTCTCTGCAGCGGACACACACACACCTGCTGCTCCCAGCACACCTGCACCTGACGGAGGAAAACCAGCACAGCAGCAGCCCACAGGCGGAGTGGAGCCACTGCCACCCGGGTCAGACACAGACACAGACTCATTTAATTACCTTAACACCCCCCCACCCCGAGTGCTGTGCTGAATGTGTGTGTGTGTGTGTTCTCAGCTGGGAGCAGAGGAAGGATCCTCACGGCAGAACGTATTACGTGGATCACAACACGAGAACGACGACCTGGGAGAGACCGCAGCCGCTGCCACTGGGGTGAGGCTAGCTAACAGCTAATGTCTAACTGACCCGTCACACACCTGTAGCATCAGCAGATGCAGAGCAACACTGATGACACACACACACACACACACACACACTCTGTCGCTCCTGTGGGACTGGGATTGTGTTGTGGGTAACTCTGTGTGTGTGTGTGTGTGTGCAGATGGGAGCGCAGGGTGGATAACCGCGGCCGGATCTATTATGTGGACCACAACACGCGCACCACCACCTGGCAGCGGCCCACCATGGAGTCCGTGCGCAACTTCGAGCAGTGGCAGTCTCAGCGCAGCCAGCTGCAGGGGGCCATGCACCAGTTCAACCAGAGATACCTGTACTCGGTGCGCACGCGTCTCTCTCTCTGTGTGTGTGTGTGTGTGTGTGTGTGTGTGTGTGTCACGCTCACGGCTGCGCTGCTCACCTGTGTGTGTGTGTGTGTGTGTGTGTGTGTGTGTGTGTGTGTGTGTGTGTGCAGGCCTCCATGATGTCTGCTGAGAATGACCCT